GATGGGCAAAGGGGAATCCCTAGGGTCTAGAAGTCTGAGAGCTGATAGGAAGGGTATAGTGGATGGCTGAGGGCTTGGGACTACCAGTAAGCAGTATTAGAGCTCTGAGAATCCCATGGGGTTGAAAGACATTTTGCTATTGGGTTTATTGTACCCCTTATAAGATTGAGACTAAAAGGCTCCAAGAGGGATCTTTATATAGGGAGCTTGGAAGATGTTTAAGACTGGCAGGGTTTCCATGTAGGATGAGGCTATAAATGTACAATCTAAAGATGGAAACAGATGTACCTTAAACTCTGGCAGTGTAAAAGGGTCCAGATTAGAAGGGTTCAGTGGCAAAGGACTACAGTTTTACAAATAGATATACATGTACAAACAAGTTATTCTGGTGGTTTAAATAAATGAGTATTTATTTCACTTGAAAATAGAAATTTACTAGTTGTAATAAGTGGTGAATGTTTAACATACAAAGCATCTTTGTAAGGTAAAATTTTCAAATGAAACAAATTTCATGTCAGTGCTAATAGGTCCTTAGAATGCACTAAAAGGTGTTTAGTGAAAAATATTGTTTTAGACATTAATTTGGGAAACAATTGGTTAAAATTGAAACATGTTGGCCGCAAAAAAAAAATTAATATGAGTCAATGCGTTACGATGAAGAGAAACAAATTAAAGGCAAACAATAGTCCTTTAAGAGCAAAATGACCAATTGTCTATTCAACGTCACTATACTGAACAATTCGGTATACAGAATATGCCTCTTGGCTCCCAAATTTTCTGCGCACTTATACTACACATCACAAATTTGCTTTAAATTAACGAACAAAAATTTAAGACAGATGTCAGTGACTCAAAAGTTAAGATATAAAACTCCGAGATTGGAACAGCCATGTTATGAGCCAATAGAAAAACAAGCAGCCGCAAGAGAATCTGTTTTACAAGAACACACACATATGTATGTGTAACGACTGACATTTCAAAATAGGAAATATATAGCACCCTCTTCTTTCTGCAAATGGTGCCCTATTTTGCCAGGACTTTTCCCCCTTTTTTATGAAAATCAGAACGTTTTGATTTTTAGGCCTATGAAAATGCGACGATTGGAACAGTACCAATGAAATCGCAATAGTTAGGGAGATACTGTATGCTACACTAAGCATTGTGTATGGACCCTGCCCTGTTCATTATAGCAGCATTGTACTGTATACCAATACACAATACTCAAAAAAGTTAAGGGATCAGACATTTGTCTTAGAAAAGTTCAGCCAGGTGTGTACCTCACTGACTTTACTTATTGTACACTGAAGCTCATGTTCATGCTTGGTTGAGCACCATAGAATGTGATGAGACAATGCAATTGGTTAGTCTTGTTTCAGAGCCCAATCAGCTGGAGGGGTCAAAAGCATTGGGTAATGTGTATTGCTCAGGTATTGCACACCTTCAAAATGACCACCTTTCACTCTCTTTGCACATAAATTAAGGATGGAATGACTCTGAGGCAAGGGGGTGAGAGACTGGGAGTGTCTTGGAGAGTGGGGGGGGGTACAATGACATGAATGAGACTGGCCAGTGCTATACAACCCCATTGTGGTAAAATTATGTACACGTATGTGTCTCACTTTAGGACCTTTTGAGAAAAAGTGACTGAAATATTGGACCTCTTACCATTTTGTGTTTAGGTTTTGGAAAACAGTGAAGTTGTTTTTTTATGTCTGACAACCACAAATTTGATTTTTTTTTAATCAGTCATCATTTTTACTCATAATTATGAAAATATGTGATTCGGGTGAAGATTTGCAAACAGATACATGTCCGATATTGCACTATTTCATTGAATAAAAGGGTCTCAATAGTTATATATAATTTTTCATGCTGAGATACGCACATCTTCGGAGTGCTTCATTTCTGTGATTCCGAATCACAAATACTGCCCTCACATTACCAGAATATACTCATAAACAGTGTCCTCACATTACCACGATATCATTCTAACTCAAAACAGTGTCCTCACATTACCACGATATCATACTAACTCATAAATAGTGCCCTCACAATACTTGGTTAAAACTTAATTTTTTATTCATCATTTTCAGGGCTGTGAAGGACCTGGACAAGGTGCTGACCAAAGTTTTTTTTTTCAGTGTCGTGAGACTTCAGTACTCTGTAGCGGAAGTTTCTTGTTTTGATGCCAGAAAATAGCCAAATTAATTGAGGCTCATTTTTGCGATGTGGATACATTTGTTTAAATTATTAATCACTATGTATGATCCTTTGATCCTTTGAGTAGTGTACAAATGCAGATAGACGTGCTCCACCACTAAGGTGGAAGCAAGATACTGCATCTCTGAGAAGATTGAGTCCTTTCCTTGCCTTTTTGTTAATCAATGCCTAAGATTCTGATGAGGATCCCTCATGCAATCTTGGAAACTGTTCCTTCTCGGTGATGAAGGTGAGGACTGGCATCTATCTGGGTTACTTCCTTTCCTTGACATTCTCATGAATCATCTCTGTGAAGTCCTAGAGGATCTTGTCCTCCATCTTCCTTCTCTCCAGGTTGAAGGAGGCGAGGGCACTCTTCTCATCAGCATCATGGTCTGCTTCTCCTGGGCATACTGCAGCTTTCATATGAGGAGGTCTGGGGAAGAAATTAATCACAAAAGGAACTAAGTTGCAGCAGCAATTGAGACATTAAAAAAACTGTTAGACTCCATTGCTTTTCTTCCATTTTTCATGTCAGAAAATAAACTATGACAAGAGGATTCCTTTGACACTGCCGACCCATTACTTCTGGAACCATTTGTGATTTGTATTCTTTGTTAAAAAATATTTTTTCCAGACACCCCTTTAGGGTTTAGTGAATCAAAAAGTGACATTTTTAAACACTTAAAATTGTTGTTTCCTTTCCTAACAAGTGAGGGCACTGTTTTAAAGTAAAACTGTAACGTCGATCAGGGAAGACCACAAACTTAAATGGACCAACAGCTCCTACAGAAATCAACAATTGATCCCAAAAGTGTTGGCAGACACATCTCAACAGTGTGCACAAGTCTGTTGAGTTGGATATAAATTGGAAATTTTGGGTGGTGACTGAAAATACTGTTTAGTGTTTATAACGTGGTCCCTTTTTGTGTTTAGGTTCAATATTTGTCAAAATTAAGGTAGATTCTTCTTTAAATAAGAACTCTGAACACCTAAATTTTTGTCCATGTTCACTGCTCACCTTCAAAAAGCCTGAAGAAATCCTCCTAATGCATGTGGTTTTAATTTTTAGACTTTATTTTTGAAATGATTTGGAAACAGTTCTCTGTGCTCTATCAGATAATACCTGAGAAAATCTGTTAAATTTACTTTTCAAAATATTCAATAAACAATAGGGATGTCAGGAATTTTTTATTTGAATTTCACATAATGTGCACCATGGCTTCTACCCATGGCTTGTAATAATGGGCAATATTATGAGGAAGAAAAATTGAACTGTGCCAGGTTGGAACTTTAACAAAAAGATCAACATGGCCAATTAATGTTTGGACAATTGCCACAGTTGCCCCCAATTCATCTTCTTGATGTAGAGCAGTGCTGCACAGAAAATCATGAAACCCCAGGGGACAAGGCAGCCATTTGCTCATGGTTATTAAAAATGGGGACTTTCCTTAAATTATGCCCCTGCTAATGTCAGTCTAAAGGTATTTTATGTCTGTGATTAGATGCTTCATTTCACGAGTTTTACTATTAAAACTATGAAACCCAAATTGCTCTTTGAACATGTTGAACATGTCTCAGGAAATGTGGACCACTGATCAATGGTAATTTGTCAAGAAACAGCAACGAACCATGAAGGAAAAGAACTTTAGGCCAGGAAAATGTGAACAATTCAACTACATTCAACTAGCTTGCCCTGGTTACAAGGGTTCAACCTCATCCCTATCATCTTGCTTGGTTGACACAATGTACACAACTATCCCTAGGTCAGGGTTGCCCTGAAAGCCAGCCACAAGCACCCGAGGGTGGATCCAGGACCCATTTTTTTTTGAGGACCAGGGACAAATTTGATTGTGGGGGCCTTTGTTTTTTTAAAGTTTTAAAGTTGTTTGAGGGGTTAGGCTACATTTCCACTTTTCAAAAGAAGGAATATTAAATACACCAAAATGATGCTTCCATTTTTTCAAATGAAAACAATTTTTGCTCCTTTTTTTTGGTTATGACCCCAATTGGCCCCTCCCCCTTTCCCAGAATCCAGGATTCATCCTTGCAGAAAGCCAGCAATGATATGAAACACAGGACTTACCTGTGCTACTTATGACGTAACCTGCGACTTCATTTTAGAGATTTCATGACACCATGACGCTATCCAGCCTCAACGTTCATGTAGGCAGCCAATGCAATACATTCACCTGGCAATGAGGCCTTCCCAAATCTAAAAACAGGGAAAAATGACGTTACACAACAAGAAAAGGTCACCAAAGGTTTTTAACATATTTTCCAATATTATTAAAGTGCATATTTTCCAGAAGCCTTCTGGATTTTTTTTAATAACTCGTTTTGTGAAAATCCAACTTGCCGTTTTGGCACAGCACCTTTCTTCTAAGAGAGGTCAACCAAGAATGTATACTTTTCTGCTGCCATTCCCAACTTCCAAGTGACTGTCAAACCATATGGCACATTTAGATAAGACTTTCCTTCTCAATTCAGATATTGAAAAGGAAAGTCATGCGTACAAAGTTTGTAAAAATATAAAGCACTGGACAGCCCAATTCTTGGGAAATTGCCGTGGGCTGTGAGACGGTCCAATGTAACCAAGCTCCTCCACGGTTAAGACGTTAGGAAGTACCACGGTTAAATCTACCAGCAAAAATTGATTTCTTCGCAGATGGCAAATATGACTGACAAGTGAAAGCTTTTTACCTACTGTTTTCTCCATCCACTGTTCTTGCTCCTCATCATCGTCAGAGTGGCCGTCACTTGGTTCCTAAATGGAACTTGAGTCTCTCTTGAGCCCATATCTTGAAAAGAACAAAAAGGATATAAAATACAGATGTCATCACTGACTCTCTGTGTTAAATTCAGCAGTGAAAACAGAGTGGTGACTTCTTCATAAAAAAAAATTGAAAAAATAAACAAAAAATGTAAGCAGTATCTTACCTTAGTGGAAAGCTGCATTGAATTGTCGAATTTTTCGGACAGAGGAAGTCACAGTACAAAGGTTTTGTATGGAATTGTTCATTTTGTTTCCGATATCTGCGGCCTTTTTACACACAGTCTTTGGGCAAAGTACATATATGTACTTACCTTCACTGGCTAACTTACTAGCTTACGGATAACATCAGAGTCATCTTCATCATTTTCTGTGCGGCCAAACTTGTCAGAGCTGACAAAGTGTAGACAAAGTAATGATTATTTATGCAGCAAGATGCAAGGATAGCATAGAAAGACGGTGGTTCCTGGAAACCTTTATGAATCCTAAAACTCCTCCCCCAGTATGATACATTCTCCAAAATGCTATGGACACATTCAGTTTGAATTCAAAGAGGCTGGGCTCTATCTTCCTCAATCTGCCACAACCTCCAGGTGGATTTTGAATTAAGACACAGGTAACAGTACGGGGGAAAATGAGTAAACTTGCAGGAATAAAGTTCACTTTCTCAATCCAGCGCTTGTCATTGAATAACCTGGGGCCAGCAGGAACTTAATAAGGTTCTGTGCTCTCCACTGATGCTGCCCATTTGTTCTATAATCTGCTCTTAACGACTTCCTCCAACACACACAATAAAAACAAAAAAATGCATATAAACTCTTTAAAGGGCAAGCTTTGCATTTTCACGAATTGTAGAAAATTTTCAACCTTATTAAAGGTAACGTCCATAAAAGACAAGGACTGCAAGTTTATTTTGAAGACATTTTCTTTTTGGCAAAAAACGTAAAATCTGTAAGTGGTAAGCCTTGCGTTTTTATAAATTTTCAGAATACTTTTATTTTGTGAAAAATGAAAATTAAGACATTATTTCTTCTTATCAATTTTCTAAAAAATGTCATATTTCCAAGGAAGAGTCTGCTAGGGTTAGCTTTTTTGAAATCAATATTCAGATAATTTTAATTTTTCCGAGAATAACCTTAAATTTTTATACTTTTCAGAAAAGTTCATTTTGAAAAAAAAAGGAATATCTATTTTAGCTTCATGAATTTCAAATGAAAGATTCCTCAAGACCTCCAAGGATAGCTAAAGTTTATTTAACAAATACATGAAAATGCTAAAAGCATTTGGTTTAAAGCACCACTTATTTTATTCAAGGCTAATCCAAGAGAACATTTAAATTTGCATTATAGATGCACCAGAGTGTTACTGGTTGAAATTGGGCTTCAGAAATAAGCTCCAGATTTTAAAAACATAGCCCTGTATTTCTGGATGCCTGCATTGTTATTTGAAGTACAAAAATGTATCAAATGAGTGTGCTGTAGCTGGCAGTATTTTTAGGGGAAGAGTATTTAAAAAAAAAACTGGCCAGTTTGTAGAAATACCAAAGCGGGAGGGCAGAACTTCCTAAAGGAAGGTAAAGTTTTTCCACCTTGTCGTCTTCACCTATATAACATGGGATCGCATCTCCTAATAGACAGAAAATTCTGCCAAGCAAGCCAGGTGACTTGTATAACTTGTCTTACTTTTGACTGATTCACATTTAACAGACAGTTTTCCTTCCATCAATTATCCAATGATGTTGGGCATTTTTATCAGAGAATTTGTTTTACCTTTGATTATACAGTTGACAACCAGCAGCATATAACTCTGTGATACTGTAATGAACATTTAAAAAAGATGAGGTTAAACAATGTTGCTAACCTTCAAACAGTTCTACATAAAATAACTTCTGCATCCCTACTGTACACAGTTACCTAGAGTCATTACCAATGCTAAACTTCATGGAATTTACCCTTAAAAACTTACACACAAAAAATATAAAGCACGAAGAAAATCCCAATACAGAACTTTATAGACAAACAACAAGTTACCGAGCAGTATTCATAATGGTACAAAAATGTCAGTGGGCAGTTTTAGATTTTTCATGTTATATTAGCTTTCTGTTTCAATATTTTTGCATTGAAAGGATAGATAATCTGATAGGTAATTTTCACTGGAAGTTGATGAATATACACCATGGTACCTAACAATTGGATTTTATGTCACCTTCTTCATTCTTTTTGTCATCACCTATAACGATTAGCAATACAAATGTCAATACATTTTCCCTCTTGAAAATATGACCAAAACACACATATGTGATTTCAGCATTTTCAAAAATCTACTGATGATCAAGGACAAAACATGATTGTGGCAGTCATAGCAGGAGCACAGATATTTAAATATAACAGGAGTAATCAGCTTTTAGACATGATTAACTGTCAGCAAATCAGTTACTACTTCACAACTCAAAACGAAACCACTCTTAAACTTGCCCACCATACAGTACACCCATACAAGGCAGGTTGAAGAAAATTACATGAAACAAATAATTTTTTAAAAGTATTCAACCCCTGACATCATCAGCTGAATTTTGTCCCAAAATGGCACTTAAAGTAGGTTAAACCTTTGACTCTTGACCTTTAACATTAGCAAAGTAGTCTCTCCTATATCTACTCCTACTGATCTGAACATTAAATAGATTATTAGTTTAAATATGATAAAACTATAATGCTAAGATCATAAATGCTATAGACAGAATCAAACATCTTGTTTCATACACACAAGCCTCCACATTAGCATTAAGAGGAAAAAAGAAATACACTGTAATAAAAACTTGGCTTTAAACTGCGTATTCCCCAATAGCACCACGGTAAAACAATAAAATAAGATCTTTCAACCTTAGTACCATAAACACATAAATGTAGTTCACGATAAAACAGAATATAGTATACAAGTTCCTTGAAATGTTTGAAACAAGTTCCTTAGATGTTTTAAATGCACATGTTGGACTGTTCTCACCATGTTAAGGCAAGACTGTCATTCCATATTTGGTTTCATGTAATACACAGCAATTATTTATTAGATTTCAAATGGATCATGAAAATATTTACTTGTTTTCAAGAAAGGTGTCCAGTCACTAACCAGAGTGACAATACTTTCAGGAAATTGTGAGATTAAAAACATCCTACTGAATGGAAAGATAACCAATCCAAACTATTATTGTATGTACAGAGTGAATTTAAAAACTTTAATGGATTTTTTAAAATCATAAATTAAAAAGAACAAAACAACATTGTTGCACAAACCTGTTGCTGACCAGGGATATTGCTTCTAAGAAACTGACGATCAAATTTGCAGGTGACTTTAGTTGACTAGATTTCCTTTTAGCTCGATAATCCTTACAAGTCTTGTCTCAGAATGAAAACTTGCAATTGCATGGACTGCCTCATTTTTAAAATGTAGGGAGCAAAATCTTTTGCACAGTGTATTTTGAAAGGACAGATTCTGTAAAAACTTTTAAAACTGCTTGGGACAAATACTGAAATTAATAATTTATAAACAAAATATATGGACACTTTGGAGACCCTGCAGGTCTTAAACCCAAATGTCTCTCGTTGAAGAAAAACACAAACTTTATGTAGCACCACCCAGCAGTCCTTAACCAGGGCCCTGACTATACATCCTCAGAGAGAAGAAATCAGTTCCAATCAATACAAATTATACGAAACAATCTCAAAACAAGCCAAATCATTTCAAAAGCAGTGCATTTCAGAAAAAAGTGAGTTTAATTCCCAGAAATGCTATTATTCTGCCCAATGACATATAGATAAGAGCCCTTGTTTATTAATTAAAAATAACATAAAACAATGTTTGCTTATTTCTTTAAATAGAGCAAACATGCACCACAATAACAAACCTGTAATCTGAAAATAAAACTTTAAGGTGTAATACTTCCTATCATGACAGGAAAGGTTCCAAAAATGTGACATTATTCCAGGAAATGAACCAGTGGTTGATTGTCTTATCATCAAATGTGTCGACTGGGGCGTTTTTTCCTTTCCCTTCGCAGGGACTTCAACTGTAAAGAAGATATAACAAATAGAATGATAATCAAACAAGTAAAACAATTCAAGGACAGAAAAAATGAGACTATCTTAAGTTGCAGTGTTACAGTCGAGTCCATCACAAGTCCAGTATAAGTCCATCACAAGTCCAGTACAAGTCTATCACAAGTCCATCACAAGTCCAGTACAAGTCTATCACAAGTCCATCATAAGTCCATCACAAGTCCAGTACAAGTCATTCAGTCTTAAGCTAAGTCACAAGCAATTTAAATGAACTGTGACTAAAGTCCTCCTTTTTCATCGTTCTACTTGTTAATTATGACTGGTCTTGTGAAAGAACTTCTGACTGGACTTGTGGAGTAGAGGAACTTGTGAAGGGATTCAAATACAACATTGTTAAGTAGGGGCTTGCATCTTCATTATTGTAATAAACAAAGACAAAGAAACAAGTTTACAGCTGCAGCAATACGTGTGTGGCATTTGGGAAAAGGGAGTATTGTTGGAAACACCCTTTGAAAACTATTTCTGATTCTATTTTCAAACAAGGTGAAATAAGTTGAGCTTCACACCAACCTGCTTTGTAATTTCACTGATTGCCGATTGCATTGTTTCAATGGTATCTTGTAACTCCACCACCACTTCCTCTAGGTAAGTTGTTCTCTCATCCAAGTCAAGCTCCTCCAAGATTGTGGACGCTGCTCCGTCCTCAGTCGATGATGCTGTCTTCTCTTGTGACTTGATAAAGGATTTCTTGTGGTTCTTATCTAGATGATGGTGTTTGAAGGTTGTCTGGTTGGTCCATGATGAAGATTCTGGAAACGTGTCCACAGACCGACGTGATCTGGACACACTACCCACAGTGAGACTAGATACAACCAGATCTATGGAAGAAAATCAAATTTAGCTTATTATTACGAAAAGTAAAGAAAATGCACATAAATGCACGTAATATACATATGTGGTTTGTAACAAGAATTGTAAGGAAAGGATGAATGAATAACAGACAATGTGGTACATGAGTACACCATGCACAGATCATTATGCATTATGGGTCACCAGTAACTGAACAATTTTCCTTAGTTTATTAGCATTTGCAGTTCTACAATTTAAAAAATGCATTCTCAATATAGTGAGTGGATTAAATAACTTAAGCCACGACTTTCAAAGCAATACTTGACTTTTGCAATTCAGAGCTCAAAGTAGAACTTTATGCTTCTAAATTTGGGTACTTCGCATAATATAAAATGTAAACTCTGCAAGATTTAAATAGAGCAGAAGTGGTAACTGTATATAGATGTTAAGGAACCAAAATGGCAGAGCATGAATAGTTAAACAGTTCTTGGTAAGTAAGCACAATGCCTTCAGAATGTGAATATGAAAGTAGAAAATACAACACCACATTGTAATTGTAACACATTTCTATGTTCTTGAAAAGCTAGATACTGATGCTTGTTTGCATGGAAAATGTACTGGTGTACCAGTACATGTGCCGGCATGCTTATGATTAAACATTTTCAAAGAAACACCTTTCGTTTCCAAGCTTAAGATTTGCTCCATCTTATGACAATCGCCCAACAGGAAACATGATGCAGCATCTTAGAGCAATACTTACCATGAGATTATTTTGAATGATTTTCATGCAATTGACATTGGTGCCACAATTCAAAGAACACACTAACAATACCGAGTCCTTGCCTACAGCAGCCCGGGATTCGTTTACTAAGGCAATCATTTTAAATATGGATCTACACATCTCCTGGTAGCTTATAACATACGCATTAGGGCATTGCACATCCAAAACAAATAGGAAATTTGAGATTTTTGAGAAAAATTTGTCAGGAACAAGAGGTGGTACTGAGGTAGTCAGTGGCGACAGAACTAATTATGAGTAAGTTGTAGGGTCAAGTCTAGGGACATCCGGTTCATCCAATGACCCTCACATGACCAACTGAATCACAAGAAGGGCAAGAATCAGACCTTGACTGAGTGGAACTTGAGGAAGTGATACGGGTAATTCCAGAAATTAGGGGTCCATTGTTTCCTGTCCCTGTCACATCTGACGTGATTTGGTATGTTCAGAACACATTTTCTAATTTCCAAGAGTGATGAATTAATGCAAATTACCTGCCAAACAAATAGTAATAGTTTGAAAACAATTGCGGTGATATTTCTATGTCAAATAACAGAGGTTAGATGTAACAGGGACATGAAAATGTCACAATTTTGGACCCCTAGTTTCTGGAATTACACATGTGCATGTAGAGCAATACTCTTTTCCAAGATGACCATTAAACAATTATAAATGACATCTAGCTTGAACTTGGCAGTGAAAAACACACCCCAATTTGAACTGGATTCCAGTTTTTAAAAGCCACTGTTCCTGCATTCTTAAAGTAGCCTTAACCCCAACCCTCCTCAATCCTTCACCTGTTGGACGGAGGACTGGGGAGTGTTAGGGTTAATGAAAACTGCACCATGGTCAAATATTTATATTTCCCACGGGAAATTACAACCAAAGATGAGGAACCTACTACATGTACATGTACTCTAAAAATGGGATCAGTCCATTAGACATAAAGTCTAAACCAGCCGGAAAACAGGAAGTCATGAGGAATCACAACTGACTAGACTATCTGACCGCCACTCAGCTGGTTCAGCTATGACATAACATCCTCACTTCAAGACTCTCTTTGGGGTTAGAGGGAGGGTGGAGTGTCATATCTATCCCAGGGGGGCGTATCGGCAGTGTCTGGACTGTGCCACTGAATCAAATAACAGCCCTTCCTGCCCATTAGTCCCTCCTTTTTGGTTGACCTAATAAATGCTATCTAAAATTAGCATGTCTCAATACACACTTACATACATGTATCCCAAGAGAAGGAGTCTGCCTCCACAACAAAATAAAGATAGATGTTTGAAAACAGGAAGTGGCAAGGTGATGGTGGAGCAACAACGTAACCCCTGTGATATGGCTAATAATTGGCCAAGAATTGACATGTGACACCGAGTTTCTGCTGCGTAAGCATAGTACATTGCTAGAGTTCATTCATATGAAATAAGCAAGCTGATCATGTTACTATTAACCAAATGAACATCTGGAATTATAGGCAAGTGTATGATAGTCTTGCAGGAATGATAACATTCAATTGTTACATGTATGTTCGATTAGTATTATGCATTATCTATTTTGCACACTAAGCAAATGATGCATCCAATTGCTTTTTTTTAATTTGCAAAGCCATAACAGTAAACAAGCTGCAGGGGGGATGACAAGCCCTTCCCCCAATTTATTGCACTCCATCACATACAACTGTTCTTTGGAATTAGGATGATACATGAAACAAAATAATACAGATGTGTTAATCTGAATAATGACAATCATCTAAGAAAGCAAAACAAAGACTAGAAATGGTTAAGTTTGGTTCAGACTGGCAAGTACTATGGCTTGAGAATGAATTGCAGGTTCTACAGATCAACAAGAACAAAGACCACCGACTGATTGATCAGGAGATAACAAATATGATTTTGTTCTAGATTACATAGGATGCTTTTTGTTCTAAAGACTAACGAGCATGAATACACATATACATGTATGTATGAAGAACTATAAGGAACATGTGAAAGAAAGAAATAAAAAAAAAAACGTTTGCTACTTCACAAGCATTCACTGAAATGCAAAAAAGATAAATCACTGAAAAAATTTAATCACCATGGAAACGTGGACTACGCTGAATAGTTCCGGCAAGGACTGTATCTGTGTGCAAATTAATATTTTGTAAAGGCTAAGTATCCACGGTAACATAATTCACTGTTACTGATGCTTGGCATCATTTACCAGGGTTTTTTGAACAGCAGAGAAATGAGAAACTGAAGCCAAACCAATTAGGGCATGCTTTACTATAAGCTCCTGTGTCAATGGGACTAATTTTCTTGTTCACCTTCCATATGTTATTCACCTAATTTTGTTGGAATTAGGCATAAATGTTACATCAATCAATTAGCTATCTCTGATCCATCAACTGCTGCACCATCCAAATCCAATCCATTATCCAAAGGGTCTTTTCCAGGTATTCTGCCTAAACCGGCAATTTCAGTCAACAGGGTGGGGTACATGTACACAGTCTACAGGAAATCAGGACAAGACATGCAAGATGAAAAGGGAAATATATCATTAAATTTGGAGGCCATGCTTCAGCACACGGAAAGGCACAACAACGGGACTGCCAAGGTTGTTGGGTGGATAATCATTACTCTGCTGCATCATGACATAGCGAAGTGTCTGTTCTTATAGTTAGTTGAAACATGTGATTCCAATTTCTCCACTCTGCCAATCAAATGCACAGACTCAAGGTAAAAATGTTAAAATTAGCAGACAGCAACCATCCAAAACTTGACACAATTCCTTTCCCCATTCCTACCCCATTGCTCATTAATCTATAGCAATGTGTTCTTGATGCCTGACCACACCATCCTCCTTAATGCAATGCACCCCCTTTTTTGATCAGCTCCACCCCTTTTGTGTAACACATCAATCTAAAGTCACAGCGTGTTCATTCTGTACTTTTGTAAGCGCCATGGCTTCGCCTAGGCTCAACACCTTGACATATCAACACTTGATCAAATTCTAGGTCAAGCTGACAGAAGTTTACCAAATAAGCTTTGACATCTTGGCAAACTGGGCCAAGGACATTTGAGAGTAGGTTCCATACAATCAGGAGGCTGTTGAACTAAAAGTAAACCACAGGAATTTACATCAACGATATTGCTTTGCCAGCAATACAAAACCTCCCACATACAGTTGCTCTGTCATTGTTAGTTGCCCAATATCTGGCAACAAAAAGGGCACCACATGACAAAAGAGTACAAAGGAATAATTCAGCTTTGTAATCCAACAAAACATTCTTACAGGCTTTAAAATAAAAAAGGCACTAAAACTGAAAGCAGGACCAACTTTACAACTCAACATTATTTTGTTGGTATTCTTGACAATACAATTTTCTAGATGGAACAGAGAGAGAAATTTTGAAGATCTCATTACAGCTTAAAACCAAAGAGATAACAAAGTATGTTACCTTCTGGGCATTCAGCCCACATCCTCAGGTCAATGGATGGGATATCACTGCAATGTCTGAAGTCAATTGGGTAGTCATTCTTAAGGAAGAGATCTTCTGGGATTTGCTGGATGTCATTGGCATTGTCACAGACAACTCTAGCCAAGGAAATCTGCTTGATCTGAGTCAACTGACCCGGTTCAAAGGTGCCTGGGTTTTCATACCAAAATCTAGAGAAGAAAGTACCCAAATAAATGCGTAGTTTATAGCATCAGTTTGTAAGTTTTGGACAAATGAACAGATATGATACTATGCTTTGGAAAAGAAGATTAAATTTATTGAGCAATTATCAACTTCATACCTGTCTCCCGCTCGCAGTCGCTTCATTTGTAAAGCCAATAAACAGCTGAATGTAGGACCAAGAAGACCCCCCTCTAGAGGATCTTCAGCTAAGCCTGCAACAAAGAGATCCAAGTTGCCTGGATGATGGTAAAGATTCTCCAGCTTGCCTCGGACTTCATCATTGGAGATTTCCTCCTGGAGATCATCAAATGTCTGAGCTGCAGACATGTTGCAGAAGACCCGCCAGTCATTGTAACCAGGAAGGGCATGGTCACGCCCACGTTGGATGTTCAAGGAGGCAAGATCAAGAGCAATCTCATGAGCCATTTGGAAAAGTCTTTCAGTCAGTTCTGTGTTCATCATTTCATCAGGTTTAGGTTCCTTGAGTGGGGAGGTAAACAGTCCACGTAGAATTGGATCAATGCCACCTTCTTCAACAACACGATAAGGAGAAAAGAAAGCTTTGTGAAGAGGAAGATCTCCAAGCTCAATTGACTGATAAGTTGAGTTCAACCTCCTCAGGATAGGTTGGATTAAACTGTGTCCAAATCGGAAGGCAGCTGTTGCGAAGACATTCACAATAGCAGCACTGGTCTTTGGGTCATAACCTTCATAGGAACCAAGCCGGTCAATACCTTGAGGTCCAAGGACTTTAGGCATCCAGTGAGTGTAGGAGATGTGCTGCATTGCCGCACCTACAATTTTCCTGGTCTCCTGGTATATTTTCTCACCATCCCAGTGTGGATTGATTCTAAGGAGTTCATCAGCAATGCGGTTGTGCTCGCGAAACCATAGTGTGTGCAATGACAGTAGTCCTAGTTGTTCATTGGCACGGAAGTCACCAGCAAGGAAACATGGGATGGGACTTTCATTCAAGTCACGCTGGCAATCAATCGGTGTATCACGATTGAAGGGAAGAAGATGTTTACCAGATGGCTGTGCAGCTGGTCCAGCTTTAAGACGACCCTTGTTGTTGGTGTAATCCCTGAGATCATCTGCTTGTCCTTTAGTGTTACCATAAACATTTGAGGCATCAATGTACGATGTAATTTGATTGATTTGCTCACGTGGCATGACAGAATTGAAGAACACAGATGTGCTACCACTACCACAGACAGCACTTGATCTAGTAAACTCCATACACTGCATGCGATGGATACGTGGATCATCATCAGGAACATTGATTGGGAAACAGGGTGGTTGATTCTCACAAGTGTCCTTACACTCAACGCCATCACTAAATCGAGCACGACTTAGACTGGTCACAGTAAAATCCATATCATGGTCTAGGAACTGACCCCACTGCATCAACATGTGGGAGTATTTCTCACTATCAGTAATAGTTGCTGTGGACATGACTTCCAGTGATACTTTCCGTACACTAGGTTTTGGGTAACCATTGTAAAGGTGTGACTGGTTCCAACCAACAGGTGTGTTGAAGCCATTCTCATAGATGGGTTTCAAAAGGCGTCGGAAGGGGGTAAGGGATGCTCCCCACTCAGGATTCTGGAGGTTATTACAAGTTCCATCATGGGTACGATATTTGCGATGGAAACAGATATCAGAACAGTTGACAATCTTGGAATGGGTTGTGCAACCAGACAGATTGGCAATCAGGTTCAGGAATGGACGAGACACCAAGTCATCATAGCTATACTCTGTAAACATAAACAAAGCAAAGGAAGGAATAGTACTCCAACAGAGTCATTCTGAATGGCATTAAAATCTAGTAGAAAATGTGTATGCATGTAGAATAAGCAAACAGTTTGGAAATCTCAATCTCCAAATGGCATATACCGGTAGGCCTACCCTTTCGATTATTCTTGGTTACAAATAACACCTAGAGAATACTGGTCCTAAAACGGTCTTGCTCGAGAATACAAGCAAAACATCTCTGCTCCAACTACAACACTGTGAAATTGCCTCTTTGATCTCATGTCAACCACAGAACACACCACTGGTGGCAGAAGGGGGGCAGGGGGAACCAGTGCCCCCCTCCCCCCATTTTCAGCTGGGGAACATGGCCCCCACTTTTTGCAGGGTCTATGGGTGCAGAACACAGACCACTAAATCAAGTGAGAATTTCTTGCCAGCTCATTAGCATTAAAAGTGCCCCCACAGTATCTTTGGAAAAAGGGGATTGTTTGGCCCCCAAAATGGTTAGATTGTGTAAAGAGGGCAGAATGGATGGTTTTGTTTGTGGGGATAATTAAAAAAGTAATTGGTTAACCCACAAAAAATTGAAAGATTAAGGACTAGACAATAACTTCATTTGTGTTTCTGAAATCTCAGGGATGTTGGTATGCATGTTAATGGGCCCTGAACAGTGATGATTTCACACTATTTTCAATGAGGCTTGAATTAGTGGACTGTACCCCTACATGTATAATGGGGTGGGGCTTAATGGATCGACCTATTAATAGCTGATGTCCCATGGTCTAACAACTCCCTCTCCCCATTTGTAAATGGTTCTACCACCATCAGAACACACCAAACGTGCGACCAATGATTCAATCCAATAATAAGACATCTGGCCCAAAATGTCCATAAACTGAAGAAAATACATGTAATGTAGTACTCCTGTACCAACCCAAATGTCGCAATATTGATGGTTTGCGGATGTACATTTGGTTCTTACAGTAAAGTGACCCTAACATGAACACAGCTGAGAGGGTTAATGTCCCCAGTGAAAGGAGTACAGGAAAATATGATAGATAAATTCCAACTACAAATAAATGAGTGGAAGAAATTTGGATGTGATAGCCTTCAGGTCCAATTTAAGGACATATTTAAAAGAAACATGGGTCAAAAGTTAGCTCTGCCCATTTTCAATTAATCTTTAATTCGGACTACTTTTGGCTGTACAAATTTTGTGCCATTGGGAAAAGCAAAGCTACATGAAAAGTCTATTCTTTATTTTAACACAGTGGAATATCATCTTTAGAGAGACAAGAGTGAAAGCATTAATTAAATCACATCAGAATTGGGTTGCAGGTTGAAAAGATTCCTAATACAGCCCACAACCAGCACAAATACTGAGGGTTAAAGGTAACCCAGCAATGTAGATACATCAACAGATCCTAGACAGATGGCCAGTCTAAAGGAGGAAACAATTGAGGAAATGAATATTTCCTGGGGAATTGCAAATACTGAACCTTTAATAATAGTAAATCTAGCTACAACAGCATGCTCAAAGAATGGATAAATTGCTCAGCTGAACTTGGCATAATAGGGGCAACATCTATGATTTGTAATTTCATACAAAAGACATTCCGAGTGCAACTTAAGTACATATACCATAGATACAAGATTATGTTCAAACAAAGCAAGCACAACCAAATCAAATGAATTGAAACAAAAAATAAAAACTACTTAAGTCTTCCCTTCATGCTCAAGAATTAGAAAATGAGTCTGTTCTCAAAAGAACCAGGAAATTTATGCAAAACACATTTCCACCCCCATGTAAGATTGTGAAGAAATATCCCCCTAAACATCACTTAAGGATGGAAAATAGGAATGCATGCTTCTACACTGAAACCGGAAATGTGAATTAATAAAAATCTGTCATAAACAAAATTCTGTGCAATACATTACCGTAGGTTTCCTTTAGTATAAGTGAAAATGAAAAGAAATATTAAAAACTCAAATGAACAAAAAGTTGGTTTTTTTTTTCCTTTATAGAACACTGCATTAAGAAAAGATTGAAAGCTGGCATCAAACATCAAAAATTTTGTTTCTCCAAATGCAAATTACCATACATATTTTATGAAAATTAATCTACAGAAATGGGACTGACTGCAGTTCTCATTTTACTAAGAGAAGAATCATCTTCTACCATTTGGGATAGCGTGGGCAGAGCTACAAAAAAATGGCAAGCTATGATCTGACTATCATTCCTTACCTACTCCAGTCAAGTTGACTTTCATTCCACTCTCAATGTGTCCATGAATCAATTGTAGCGTCTGCTCAAATACTTCGGCTGCTCTGGCAATGCTCATAGCTTCCATGGATGGAAACCTAAACAATGTCAGTAAATCGCTGGGTGTGAGGGGCTTGCTACGATCAAATAACTCTCGTCTTGTCTCATTGATGGCACGGTCAACATTATTAATGGCTTGAGTGATGGAATCACCAACAAACTGATCACCTTCACGGTCCTCATCAGGAGCATCTACAAGAAACAAAGATGGAATCCATAATCAAAATCAAATAAATCAATGCTACTCTCCCTCAACTGCTACAAGAATGTCCACAACTGGTAATCCCTTTAAACTGCTACAACTCTGTTTACTGTGAGCAAATGCTAGAGACCCAAGATTTCCACACAGGTGTAGCTGAATATTTGACATTTTGGATGATATTTCACTATCAGGAGTAAGCTTCTAGGCCAGGAAACAATTAAGATTAGAATCGTAGTCCCTGACTCCTTGAACTTCCTCCCTCAGTGGACTATGGATCATATGGACATGAAGTCAGGGAACAGGACTGCAATCAAATGGGTCAATGGAATAACGTAATATGTCACAGTCTGTTGATTTGCAGAAATGTTAACATTTGTTAGAATGTTGTGTGTTATCTAATGAGCTGCCACTCTTACTATGGTTTCTAACAAAACATCCCACATGCACGTGGACAAAATGGTTAAGGAGGTCCCTAATATACAGGTGCACAGTGTCATAGTAGAAAGTGTGCATTACAATCCAAGGTTTCCAATTAGTCACTTCTTTTGCTATTTATCTGCTCAACATGAGTTGTTTTCCTTATTGACAAATTCTTCCTTACATGCATGCAACCTCTGATACAGTACATCGCCATTTCTTAAGCACTTTTAGGAAATTTTTAGTTAATTGCACTGTAATACTTACTGTCACACGTGCATACATTTTTAACAGCAAGCCAGTTCTAATGTCAGAAGTCAAACTGGTATGCCTTTAATTAGGTTCACCGGTGTTGCTATAAACAGACCGACTTCCAGTCAACTTGTCTGTACAGGAAAGCTCCCCCCCCTCCCATGGAGTAAACCAATGAATGTTGTTTGCGAAACTTTGGTCATTTGGGGGGACTGAATTCAGCTTCCTCTTGTCCTGTTTTGATTTTGTCTAGTCCAATCATCAATTAATTAATCACCTGTTTCCTCTTTCCAATTGACTACAGACAATATGGCAGCCCTGAAATTGAGAGCAACTCAACACTTCAGAGTTGAAAGTGAGTTATACGGTAAAATCTCGATACCTCGAATCTCTGGGGAACAGACAAAAATTCAAGTTAAAAGAAGGTCCAAATTTGTTTTGAAGTCATTATTACGATGTGTATCAAAACATGTACCTATACGCTGACGCAGTTACCGTAGATCTCCCTACTTTTTGCTTACAGTTTTGTTGTCAATCAGCTGACAAATAACACATTACATGTACGGTAAATCATTTAAACTGTGTACCTTTGTGTGGCAAATCTTTCTTTTGCATTGTGCATGTGTGACGCATTGTGGTGGTCCCATTTCTGATACCGCACCGCAACACAGTGCCTTGCACATGCGTACTTGGGCGGGGTTTCCCAATGAGTCAGACGACTTTTTTCATCACATGAGGGAGCACCTTTTTGCACTTCAATAAAATTTCGTAAAAACAAAAATTCTATTGGTGTCTGTTTTTATTTTTTGTTCTTCGTTCTTTATTTTCAAACTTGTTTATTTTTTAGGAGTGAGATTTGGCTACACAAAAGCTCTGCATTGCAGTCACATGGTTGGTCCACTGCATGTGAGCATGCTGTGGTTTGTGGCTCTAATTGGGCAGCCATCGCACAGGCGAGTGCAAGCAGTTGGACCAGACCATTGGGTTAGACTTAACTTCCGTACATACGTGTGGTACCTGCGGCATACACAAAGATCTCCAACGCATTGCCGCAGCCACCGCAAAGAGCCATCAGTTGGCCTGCCAACGCACTGTCTACAATGGGCCCACAGTAACAATTGGGCCAATTCCTGCAAGTCGGATTTTGCGGTCACGGTGTGGTTACGTGTCTAGATCGATCATCATTGTAGTGCGCTTGCAAGTGTTCCGGTGTGAAGAGACGAAGTGCGCATGTCAGAAATGATTCATAACTCGACCCGCATTCTGTTTATACTTTCTGGAAGTTTTTTGGCGGCGGTTTCTTTTGGATCTGCTACACAAAAACTTTGAGGTAAATGAATCCAGCAAGGTGAGCAGTTCGAGTGACGGATATGTTTTTGTAAATAAGAGCCTATTCTTTTGGCAGGAGTTATTCTTCGAGTTAAGTGGAGTTTCGAGTTAACTGACTTTGAGTTATCAAGATTTTACTGTAATTCTTGATTTCTAATAGGACTTCTGAGAATGGTGTTGACATTTAAGGAAAAACGATGTGGAAGGAATTAACAAACTAACCACATTGCTGATTAAGTTTAGCAGAATGTTCAATTTGAGTTGGCCTTACCCACAATCAACAGCATACTGGTAGCAGCATATCCAATGCTGTTCCTTGCAGCGCATTCAAATCGACCAGCATCATCAGGACTGATGTTATGAATGACAAGATGACCTTCACTGCTGATGGTGTATTTGTTACTCTCAGGGATCTGGATACCGTCTTTACTCCATGTGATAACAGGTGTAGGATCACCAGTTGCTGAGCAGGGTAGGCGAATAGTCGCCCGGGTAACGACTTGTAGGTCACTGGGTGACTGGGTGAAAACGGGTGGCACTAAGAAGAGAATGACATAAACGATTAGAAACAGAATTATAAGATAAGCAAGGTAGTAACAAGTACCCCTACTTCCCTGGGTGAAATGAACAGCACTATAAAGAGAGCTATTCCCTGGGTGAAAGCAGGTGTCAATGGACACAGTGCATGGTATACTTATAAGAGACCCCATTTATGAGCTATTTACATGTATTAACCTAATGTCTGAAATGAAAATGGGCAACACTTGGAGTGAGTGAGCTTTGTGTAAGTGAATGCAGGCTATTTCAGTAAATTTACAAGAGTCTCTTAATGTCAGCTGAAAACAGAGAAAGCCAGGCCAACATGAGACAACTCAAGACCACAGGAAATCATTTCTTCTTTAATTCTACTTAACTCTTTCTAGACATTTTATCTCACCTCGGGGTCTGACTTCAATTTGTGCAGTGGCCTGAATGCTTCCAGCTGAGTTGACAGCGTAACAATCATAGTTCCCTTCATCTTCACGAGTAACTCTTACGATGCGCAATGTACCACTAGCAAGAGATAAATAGCGGCGACTGTCTGGCAAAAGACTACCTGAGGATGAACAATCAAGGTGAAATAAAGTTCATAAGTCACCAAACCTGGAAAAATCGCCCCAACATGGAACACCAACACTTGCTAGGCAGAAACAAGAAACAGGTCTTATTGTAAACGTACACAGAATCATTCAACCATAATCAAAATATTGCTTCAACTGATTTTCCTGCACCAAACCAATAGTATCACACAGCCATTTTAGAATACTGAAATTCAAAAACACTAAGAAACCTTTTGTCTTTTTACAATGGTTAGCAATGCATCAGGGGGCAAACAGAATATGTGATTACTGAAGTCCTAAAACCTGCACTTGAAACCGAACCTAGACAAAGAGAAGAAATATTCAGACAATTTACCATCTTTACGCCATGCAATGACAGGCAGCGGATAGCCAGCAGCTTGACAGAACAACTCTACTGTGCTGCCTTCTATAGCTGACAAGAACTGGGGGGTGACTTCAAATGACGGAGGAACTGCAATAAGTCATAATGAAAAGACTGCATCAAAACAAACCAAATTTGAAGAATCCTCAACTTTAAGAAATGTAGACAAATGTGCTTTTACTTCATTCAGATTTTCATTCTTTAAAGGAAATGAAAAAGAAACCAAAAGTTTACTAAAAGAATGAGAGTAAAGAACTTCATGAACCAATGTACAGATAAAGATTTTTAATAAAGATGCCCAGAAGTCTGTTTCAGTTGATTAACAAAATCTGATGATGAATACCCTCTGTCATTCAGCTTTCTATCCAGGGATCTTCAGCTAACTCCAGGCTCACCCCTTGATGCTAATACCTCTTAACTTACACTGTATAGATTTTTTTTAACCACATTAACATCGTGTGTGAGGGACACAGAGGCTTAAAACAATGAGTAACAGGAACAAATGTCTGCTTCAATGTTTGAAGTATGACAGCTAGATAGTGAGTCAAACCAATGTTGTGATTCATAAACACCTAACATTTTAATTGTACAAGAAACTATCTGTTGGATAATGGTAGGTCATGACTCAGATCATATCAAAGCAGGCAAATAAATTAAACGCTGCATATTTGCTCAAAAATACGCCAACATGTATGACCTTTAAGGCAGGTACTTTGAAAGCATTCAGGTTTTGATGATAAGTTGTCTCTGTAAAATTCTTCACTGGAATTTCCATGTTTAATTAATTTGATAACAAGTCTACAAGGGTCAAAATGCTCACTTTTATGCATCTTCATTCTCACTTTAAATAACCAGTTGGTTTGCTTGATCATTCATTCATAAATACCTCAGACAGTCTCCCTATTCAACAACGTACAACTTGACATTGTATTAGTGTGACAATGTCTGCTGAGAAGTGATAATGCCTGCTGCGTAAATCACATGCTGGCACCTGGAGACAAGACAGTTTAATCAATTCTGGTGGGTCAAAACTCAATGTACACGCAGCTCACCACACATGTGCCAACTGGACAATTTGCACATGGAATATTCAAAAAAGTGGACGAGGGTGTTCAGGAAAATGAAAGTAAAATTCTAGAAAAAAATCGCTGGAAATCTATTCAATACTGTCTTCTTTTGACTGACTAAAAAGGTATTTATGAATGGGAAGCCGGTCTTAAGACTAAACACTGATAATCCCTGAGCCACATATTTGCATCCATTCTCCTAAGCCGGTCTTTAACGCATGTATATGACCAGCCAGGCACATATTTATTCTCTTAATAATGCTTCGCCCTTTGCAGCAGGAAACAGTTCCTATCAATGCCACATCTCAATTTCTTGTGACTTTTTAGGCACTTTGTCATAAGAAGGCCTTACTTTCCAGACAGTCTGCCATCTTTCCATGGGTGGGGAGTCAGAGTCTAACTAACTACAGGCAGGGAAGTCCCTGGATAGAAATTTCAGGGTATGACTGAGCAGTTCAGGGATCACACAACACACCAGTATCACATTCATGTCCACATTATCCAGCCATGCTCTGTAACATTAAGGGAAATTAAAATTACCGGTGACAGTAAGGGTTGCAGAAGTACTCTCTGATCCAGCCTGGTTTGTTGCAGTACATGTGTATTCGCCACGATCTTGAGGTTGTACACTACTGATGTGTACAGAGCCAGTAGCTAAAAGGGTAAAGCGAGGGTCATCCACAACGCTCTGTCCATGTCTGGTCCAGGTGATGGTAGGACGTGGGTAACCACTGGCTGAACAGTCTAAGGTCACAGTTGTACCTTGCTTGACCTCCGTATCAGAGGGTTCCTGACTGAAAGTAGGTCGTTCTGAGCAAGAGGAAGACAATCAAAACTCATAATTGTAATTAATACTTATAAAGTGCTAGCCATTAAATGATCTCAAAGCATTTTTACAATCATAATTATTACTCCGATCAGTAGCCAACAAGACCAATTTCAGAAGTTTACAATAGCACACTTCCAAGTTCCAGCCACTATCTTCATAGGTACCCATTTATAATCTTGGGTGAACAAAGGCAAATAGGGGTGAAATGAATTACATGTACCTGTGGACTACCTGCTGGATTTGTACCCCTGACCGGTGACCATTTGAACCCTCTATACTTTACATCACCAAGATTATCCAAATCATACTGTCAGACTTACTTGGAGAGCCAAAGTATCTTAAATTGACCGCCTCTGATGTTGTTTCACCGACAGCATTCCTAGCCATGCATTCGTATTCTCCTTCGTCATCACCATTAGCATTCTGAATCATCAATGTGCCGTCATTAAGAATACTATATTTACTACCTACAGCATTCAGTGTTGCGGCAGGAATTTCTACGCTGTCAAAATAAAATTCAAATAGAGTTAAAAATATGCTTCCTTGTAGGATAATGTGAATTATTTTAAAAGTGGAAGCAATTCATGAAATAAAGAAACATTTTACCACATTAATTCAATTTTTCATGTAATTTTTTCAACTCACAACTGTCACTAACTGAAGCTCATTTTTCTTTCAAATGTCCCTTTTTTAACATTCCTCAGAAATTGCAAACTTCTATCATCCTGAACAGATGTTTGACATTAGACTGCTTGTTACTTGCATTTCCTATCCAGATTACCATTTTTTTTTAAAGCAGTCCGTGAAATATCAAAGCCAAAACGGAAAACATGTCTTCCCGATTGGCAAGCTAAAACTTTCAACACCTTACAGATGTTGGATACTGTTGCTACTGTAGTATCACAGGGGGATGTATAAACAAATCTTCAGGGTACAAAGTGGCACTTTCCTTTCCATGTTCAGGGCATTTTATAACTCCAGGGTGTAATTAAAGTTTGAAGCTGTGATATTGGACAACTTGTCCCAATGGAATTCCAGGTATTAATCACTTCCTTGAGTAGCAAAAATTTCAGGTTGAAAAGTGGAGGCAATTTATCCTTCACCACTGGCTGTAAATTCACAGCAATCTAATTTCTTGCTTGAAGGCCTTAAAGTACACTTTATTAAGGTAAACCAGTAAATGAAGGGACCTTGTCAACATTTATGGTAATAAACTATCCAACATTGTGCATGGGACAAATGACATTCTTAGTGTGACAGTCAATGATTCTGTGAGACTTTATAGACTATTTACAAAAATGCACTTAAAGTGCATACACCTGCAAACTGTTAAAATCTGCACACGTAAACAAATTCACTCATGAATGACTAAATTTAAACACATCCAAGTTACATTCCATCAAGACAGACTGTAAACAGTGATATAATGAGAACTCTAGAAGCCTGTTCAGGTTTGTGTGAGGTTACGTTTTTCTTAGAGGTGTCGTATCTCTTGATGTCCAACACAAACCAGACAGTTTATGACCCTGTAGCTGGAAGAAAACTGACTGAGGAAGGAAGCTCAATGTTTGGGTCAAAAAAAACAAAACATGGCCTCTGGATTTTCCTGAAAACTAGCCGACCTCAAATAACATCCGACATTTGGGGTCAACTTTCGCACGACAACGGATTTATTGGCACGAAAAAGAATAAGGACTAGGTAAAAAGTGGATATACCCAGCTGAAAGTTGCGTGTTTTCCTTCAGGAAATTAATTGTGCAAGTTGTTACCGGTTTTCAAATGCTTACAGGCACGTAGGATAGCACTGCAGTGACAATATATGTACCTGTATATAGGGAAACAGGCATGCCAAGTAACTCAAACGAAAACACACTTGGTCTGAAGTCCCTGGACATTTCACTTGGAATCATTCTACATCTAGCCCAGCAAATATTAGAACAAAATCTGTGATATCACTGAGTGATGTAACACAAGATTTCATTAACGCTTTCATCAGAACACTACCAAAGAAAATGAGTGAGCCACTACTTTCATATTTGATTTCAAAGTGACAAAACAACTACAGCATATTTCCAAATGGGTCACAGGATTTTCTCGCATCTGTGTTCTTTTTATCATAATATTGAATTTAAAGACACGTCACAACCCTCGAACCTGTACAACCTCATTATTTTGGTTTGCGTTCTGCTCATACTGAACATGAGAATGGGGACTGCCCACCATCAATGCTAAACAGCGCCCTCAATCATTCATGCACACAGTCAATAAAACCCCTAGAGAGCTGCTCTATGAGTTTGTGTTGAAGAACTACATGTACTAGATTGCCACAGCTATGTTACCTGTTGTGTAACCAGACTATTTCGGGTTCTGGGTCACCCATAGCTCGACAGCTAAAGTAGACATTGTTGCCTTCTACTGCATCAACATCACTAGGTTCAACCACAAAATGGGGTCTTCCTGAAAACACCAAAGAACAATGTTAAATTAATTTTTTTTAAGCGTTAACATCGATTTCTAACAATGAAATATGAAAGGAACCATTTCTGTTCTAGTTTTTATGGGGGTATGATTTTGTACCACATACACGTATTTAAACGTGTACATGTACAACTGCATTTATGAATTGGATAATTGCGTAGGTTCAAACTGGATTAAAAGTATCTCAGCATTTTGTCCAGAAATGTAATTCCAGAAAATCTATAGCTGAAAGAATTTGAACTAGTCCCCATAGGTGCAAGGAGGAGGCCAGTGTTCCCAACAGGATGCACTCCTTCAATGCCCTGTGCCTTGTGAATAAAAAAACTGTCCTGTGAATCCATCCTTCTCAAAATGGTTTCCAAAACAATTCAGAACTTGGGATAGTACAAGTTCCCCTGTGATACAATCCAATGTCAATATGAATAATCAAAATTGCTCTTACTTTACTAACATTACTTGAATACAACCTACTCAAGGGATCATACTTTCCATCCTAATTTGCATTAGTCATAATTCAGGCAGAAGTCATAGATCTGTCTTTCTTGATGCTAAACATATCCAGAATTCCTTTCACAAATCTCTCTTCTTAAACCCAATCCCTCCCAGAGTCCTTTTACACCTGATGTATAAGTTTCAGTAGAACCTTCTCCCTTCCATCAAACCTTTCCCAGATTCCAAGTCAACGCCCCCATTACAACTTACTACAGTTAAGTTCCTCTGGTGATATATCCATAAGGTTTCTGGATCGTAAGTTCCTAGGATATTCACAAGTTGCCGCAGCCTGCGTGTGACGTTGGTGACTGGCCTGCTTCAACATTTCAATCAGCCATATTAGCTTACAGTTACACATCAGCTTGTTTGCATCTAACCGTCTGCACAGAACAAAAGGTATTAAAGGAAAGTATGATACACAGTTTGGCTGGGTCAAGAGTTGAAGACTGGTCACCAAGGTATGAGACCAGGTAAGGTTTCAACTGAACCAGATTCACTGTTGTGGGTTAAATACTTCAATTTTTCCCCATTGTTAGATTTCTTTTCACTGCTGGGGTCATTGTCTCCCTGGTTCCTTCCCCATCACCAACAAGTACATGTACATGTAGAATAGATGCTATTGAGGTTTCTCGAATTCTGAGTGCACAGCAAGAGATATAGCATCAAACTTAAATGGAGCATCTGAGAAACTATACCTAGACGGCCCAACATGATCAACTTTCAACCCATCCAAACTACCGTGTTTTATTTTCCAATTCATTATTAAATTTAGAGTACAATACCAATGGACCTCAGTTAACCTTTAATAGCTATTCAGGGGACCCCCCACATAGCAACAGATAACTAGACAGACAATGACCTCCAAGCAGTACCCACTAAAGTACCCTGCAAGCAGGTTACCAACAAGAGTAACTCTGTCACCTGCATTAAGTTCCCAAATAAGCAGACAGCAGAAAGGTTTGAATGGCAAGAGAGGAGAGGATGTAGGAAGACTTGGTTTCCTGAATGAGTAGTTTGAATACACTAAGAACTGGCGTTTGATGATTGAAGTAGGATTTCACAGTCTAGACAAAATCTCCATGGTGTATGGCACTATGTAAGATAAGGTACCAAAAGCCCCCTCACTTGTTAAGATGGTTAGATAAAATTCCCCATGGTTGTGCGTCATGAGTTGTGGCTTGAACTTCACAGAAAAAAAGTGCAATAATTCCCAACTATAGTTGTTGATGAATACAAAGTCAGCCAATACTAATGGAGAAGTTCTGAATTAAAGTACATGTATGCCTGTGCAAATCTATAAGAGCATCAGCAACATGAGTTTAAGGTAGTGAAATCACATATTACATTAAAGATGAGGAAATAGTTACAGATACCAATAGTAAAATGAAAGAAACAAAACTGCTTCAACTTAAAGTAACTCAAACTGTTACCATTAGTAATTATTTGATTACATTGGTGTTAAAAGCCAAATGCTTAACATTATACAAGTCTCTATGTGACCAAACAAAGTCATGGTTGGTAGGGTTTAACTGGATATTTTATGTACATGTACCCCTGGCAACGACCCGTTCAGTAAAAATAAATTAGCAAGTTAAAATTGTGTATTTCTACTTACAACAGTGAACTTTTTCATAACCACCGAGTTATAAAGAGACACAGGCAGGGTATTTCCAATGCCAAAATGTATAAATTTTTGTTTATGGTGAAGCAATGACTCATACTAACAATGAAGGCAAAATGGCTGACTGCATTTTCTATTACTGTACATATTTTGATGGATGTCTCGTTTCAACAATTCTTTCCTATTTGTATAGCACTCCCTTCTTTTTCAAAAGCTAAAGCTTTGGGTAGGCGCATTTCAAGTGTGACCTCAGAAAAAGGTAATCTTAGCTTTCTAACCAGTCTATGAGTGGGACAAACCTCTCTGCAATGTATTTACCTACAACAACCATCACAAATCAAACATGTTGATGAACACAAAGCTGACATATAATCATGTACACGCTTTATGCTCATCCAGACTTTGATCAATAGACTACCATCAGTGTAGCCCAAGGCAAAATCTAACACTGATATGCTCAGCAGCCTGGTAGCTTGTTAAAGGGAGACTAACATGAGCTAGGATTTAAGCTCAGACATCTGATGTTCCCTACCCACCTCTCCAATCACGACGCCCATTGTCCCCCCCCCTTGATGAAAAAGGAGACAAAAACAAGGCAATGAGGCAGCCAACTTAGGAAAACATGCAGAAACTTAACCACACATTCTTTTGGTAAAACAATTTAATAACATTTTTTCTGCTAGATTCTGCTGGATACATGTTTATGAAGTTATAGCAGGTTCACAGGAATGTATGAATACTGTACCGATATTGGCCCATGCACTGTACATGCAAGAGGGAGACTGCATACATCTGAAGCCTCCACAATGATAGGGTACACTTTGGGGAATAAGTTCATGCTACATGTACACGTGTAGTTTAGATATTTTCTAAGGCATACACACACAAGTCTGGATCTGTTTACTTTGCTCACTTTTAATTTGTTAATTTCTACTTTTAAAAAAATAACAGCATACCAAAGGATTATTCAGTTCCAGATAAAAAAAATGTGCTGATTCATTTGTCAAGTTTGTTGGACATCTAACGGCAGGGAAGTGGTTTTTCCTTTCAACTACAGACTCAAACTATCCAAATAAGAGAGAGAGTCTAAACCAGGAAGCTACATGTATGCCCGCTTGACAATTTTGAGTTGTATCTCATTCTTCTGGTAATCACTGTAACTATTCCATTCATGGATGAATCTACAGGTATAGACTGTATGTTCAAATAAAATCTTCACAAAAATCATCAACATGTAGTGTGCTATTTCATCATATATATTTTTCAGCTAGCTTCAAAAATACAGCAGCTTGATTGTACCTGGTCAAGCAACCAACCATCAAAAAATGAAATTTAAATTTTAATAAATACTGATCAGTGAAGCGCATGCAAGACATACATGTACAATGACAAACTATACAAAGTGGAACAACAGAGACCATATTCAATCTACTTGTGAACTACTGTGTAAATAGCAATCTACAAAAGCAGAGCTTTGACAGACAAACCATGAAAAGAAGGATCACCTGCCACACCTCGATCCTCAGTTACTTTTCTATGGGCTGGGGATTTGAAGTGTTCTGCAGTTGATACAATGTGTAATGTGAAAATAGGAAACAAGCCAGTTTGGTATTCACACAGTGGAGCCCAAACTGAGGCACAGTCTAAGGTCAATCAGATACCTGTGTGAGTCCTATGCAGACTTGCACACATACCTCTTTTCCAAATGACCTTGATTAATTTTAGATGCCAAACTGGCTCATTAGAGGAAAATGCAGGAGGAAGTTGAAATTTATGGCACTTGAGAGGACGGACTTGTGGATGCACAGATGGCAGTAGGGTCATTCTATAAATTTGGGGTCCAAAAGTCTGACATTTTTGTGTCCCTGTTACATCTGACCTTTGTTTTTTGACATGGAAATATCACCGGAAGTAATTTCAAACTATTACAATTTGTTTGGCAGGCAATATGCATTAATTGATCACTCTTGGAAATTAGAAAATACGTTTTGAATTTACAAAGTGATGACAGATGTGAAAGGGACACAAAGAAATTTGACCCCTAATTTGTTGAATTCCCAATAGTCTAATTACTACAAGACTTGGTATTAAAAAAGCAAAGAGTATTTAGAAAAATAGATGAGGAAAAAGACAAATTAAAGAAGAGGACTCAAGCTGGGATAAAAGACAGCCAGTGCAATAAGTGCAATAGCAGCTTCAATCTTACCCTCTATGCTTAAAAGAGAAGTTTTCCCAACATTGTTATTGGCCATGTGGCAAACAAACCACTTTGCATGATGCCAAAAACACAATATGAAAGAACATTTAATGCTGAAATCTCACACTTACAAATTTGGTGGAGTTCCAGACTACAAAAAAATCTTGTGCAAAACCCAAAGATCCACAGTGCATTTTATTTTATTTATATCTGATCGTCCAACAGCACATTTTGTGCCAATTACAGGATGATAATGAGTGAAGAAGACAAGGAAGAAATGTTCAGTTTTAAAGGTGGAAGGAAAAATCCGGATACATGTTTCGAGGAAAACTCAAAGACTCAGGTAGGGACTGAAAACGCAATCCACATGTGAAACAAGCTGGATTCGAACCCAGACCCCCAGAAGTGGAAGGCGAGGAAAGAAACACTCCACCAACCTGTTTTCTTGAGAATGTATTACAGATATGCATGAATGCAAACACTCATAGCAATATGATCATTTTCTCACAAATGATGCTCACAATGCAAATGAGGAAACGAATGTATCACACGAAAGCATACACTAAACATACATACATAGATGAATCTACACGGGGGGGCTTCAACATTTGACTACATGACAAGCATCCACAGCAATGCAATCATGCCACTACAAGACAAGACTCTACCAACACAGGCACCAGTGCAATGGACACATGTACAAACAGACTTACAGCCTTTTTAGCGAATCAAGTCCCTGGAAGGTGCCGGAGTATATCGAGGTCAAATTGTTATTGTTCAAAAACCTGTAAGCATAGGACAAACGAGTAAAGAAGCAGAACAGAACGATGAGCTGTGTCCAGCGCATGCACGCATGCAGCAAGAGCAGAGGGTCCATGATAACTGAACAAAAGGTTTGCTGGTAAGCCAAAAAAATAGGGGTTGAGGGGCAAGGTATGGGAAACAAAAACTGGTGACAACATGTTTCAACAGAAAATGATAATTTGGATGATTATCAAAATGTTTTGGAATCAAGGAAAAGTAAACAGGAGCAGCATTAGTAAATTGACCTGACAACTAAACATTGCTGCTTAGGATGCTGTACCACAAAACTAACCAAAGTGATGAACTGACAATAATAGCTTTTTCTTTAGTCTTCAAGAGATGTGTATTTATAAGCTTTTCAGGTGAAAGTGGTGCGTTTCAAAAAACCTTACCGCTAGTGCAGGCTTTTTGTGCATAATCTGTGACTAAGCTTTTGATAAAGAAAATTTGGAACCCTTAATCACTGCAAATGTAAAAGCAACTACTGCATCTTCAAAATGAGCAAAGCTGCCAGTAACGATTATGATTCGTTTTGTTTGGATTTCTAGAGATTGATGATAGAGTTGTGAGTAGTGAAAATTACAATCCAGGCTCAAGGTCACTGCAACGAGCTTTATGAACTACACTGCTGTGTTCTACTGAACCTCTTTGCTTAAAAACAAATAAAATGACAAAAACTGATTCTGCAATATGCACTGTGTTGCACATGAAAAGAAATGATCAAATTCAAATTTATCAAAGAAGTCATTCAATGAGGACATCTCCTTCTTGATCATTTGAGGAATGAAATGAGAAATATTCCACACCGAACGTTTTAACGGTTTCTTTTTGCATGCACGATACTAGACATTCTGACTGACCAGTGCTAAGACAATAAAAGACATAACATGTATTTGGATGTCTGATCAGTTCACAGTACAGGTACCTTCAACTATTGGTACCAGCATCAAAGTGACTATTACCACACACATCTCACAAACAAATACCTCTTAACAGGCAAAAAAAAAGCAACTTACAGTCTCTCCAGCTTGGGTAGATTACTAAATGTTCCTGGCTTGAGTTCCTGAATTTCATTAGAGTACAGATACAACTGTTCCAGATTGACTAGTCCATCAAAGGCTTGGCTGTCAATTTCTGTTATTTTATTCTTGTAAAGATAGCTGTGGAAAACAAGATAAAAACATAAAGGATTACCGGGACAGAAATTTAAAAGTACATGTAAACATCCAAAAATTCAAAGGTAAGGTCAAAAGTGCCACCAACAAATAGTAATTAAAAAGCAAAGAAGATTTCTGGAGCAATGAGATTAAAAGTGTGGCTGGTTGATCAAAGTATCAAGTAAATTGACAGAAATGACTGATCAACTGCAGAGCCATCAGGAACAATTAAATCAAACTTGAAGAAGACAGCTGGGAAACACTGACTTCCTCAGCACAGGAAAAAAAATTCAAGAAATAAGAGCATAAGGCAGAGAGAGCTACACGTATAAGGAGATGAGGAAGTTGGGAGTTGAGGTGGAAATTTGTGAAGTGAGAAGAAAGGTAATGAGTCAAATGCAAGGCCTAAAGGGGTTTAGCCTTCATTATGGATGCCCAAGTAAGTGGGACAGTAAGAAGATGCATGAATATGTATGTGAATTCATTCTTAAATATGTGTAACTTCAAATGCCAACTGTAACTGCAAAATGAAATTGCAAATCAAGACAAAAGGTCAACAGAATATCTTTCCTCAACTATTTTTAAGATGGCAATATTTTGTTAGCCTTTTGTGAAACATAACAATCCTTGAGTCTCTTAACTAGAACTCGCACTGATTTCAGGCTCAAAATGTTATTTCCTTACGTCCTAAAATCTATGGTTTTCTTAACTTAATAAACTTTTGGAAAAAACTTTTTTTTTCTGTTTTATCATCCCCTTGCCCTTTGAACTGTACCCCATAATGCCCTAAGAGTCAGTGAGCAGGTAAGCCTTAATTTCCATTTCTGCATTAGTGGCACGGGTACATGCCTAAAATTGACCAGACATTATCTGTGTCTACTTCCTCTATTAGCTACTTGGTAACTAAAGATGGGGGAAATAGAGAGAGACTTAGTAGGCAGGGGAAGAGAATCATTATTTCCATGCTTCTGCACGCTAAAACAAGTTCTTTCACTCCTAACAAGAAAAGTCTCCACCATACGTAACAGAGCATGTTCCTATATCAGACACAATTTACAGAATTGAGTTACAACCCACCTTGTCCACCAACACACCTGCCCCTCCCCCTTTATTTGTGACCTCCATATGATTGCATACACTCTTACGGTTCATATGACCTGATGAGGTGTATTTTCCCAGTTTCTACTTGGGGTAACAGGTGCAAATATATGGAGACAAAAGTAAGCCCCATGATTAGTTGGTTAGTCAGGTGCCATATCTTTTCTCCATAGGATACAGTTTAATCATTACCTTGAACTAACTCTTGAACCTTTTTACTGTCTCCACGTCTTCAAAAATATGTCATTTTCCAAGGATGTTTTAAGAGGAAACCATCCACAAAAAAGACCGTTTTGTGCTAATTGACACATCACTGAAGAGACCATGTTTACCAGCCAATTAAGTTATTGTTTTCAACATGCCAGTATGGCCACCAACCCACATGCTAATAAGCTGGCTAATGGTCATTCAGAGGCAACAACAGGCAATGATTAGACGGCTTCAAAGCTCACAGACATCTACCCTGTCTGGTAGCTAGTTCAAGCTTAGTCTCTTTCTGTAACCCATCATCAAGGAACTTGGTACTACTACTTACAGATATTTAAGATGATGTAGTCCTTCAAATGCTCCCCTGGGTATCCTTCGAATATTGTTGTGGTTCAAGAGGAGAGTGTTTAGTGCTGTCAGACTAGAAAATGCCCCGGAAGGAATCTCTGCAATTTGATTAAACCGCAAATCTCTGGGAAAAAAGGAAAATCAAGAGATGAGGAACTATCATAATTACAAGTAGAGTTGGGTAACTTGGGTACACATAAAAACTAACCCTTACCTTCACCAGATCAATGCTACATGAATTGAACAGGAATTTCTGACATTATAATGCACAAACTCAACCAAATAAAACAATAAAATTACTCCCTTAAACACAAAATGAATACAAATTTTACTCAAAATATCAAATAAATTTATATAAAAGTCATATCAACAAACTTAATTCTTGAGAGGTACAAAATGCTACAAATAATGTAGATAAAATGTAAATAGTCAAAAGACAAATACTTGTGGTCTGAGAAAATGATTGACCATTCCATGTGACAGACTCAGAACTGACATTTCTGATGTGTTGGTCTATTAACTACTTCTATTAATGTGCACTCTATATCATCCCCTTTCACACAACAATGGGTTGTGTTAAAGTTAGTCATTATGCCATGCTTGCATGATGAAAGCACAATCTAAAAGTTGACAACTTAGAAGCTAAGACTGCAGGTATTCTGAACAACTAACTGACCTCTGCTTGACTCCACAGGTCACTGACATACATTACCTCCATTTCTTACTGTTCCCCTCGGGCATCAATTATTTTAACAGAAACTCCTGACCACTTAATGTACTGTACATAAAAGAAACAGAACACTTCAGCCCTAAACCCCATAATGCTAGCATTGATTTGCAATCTAATTAAAATGGGTCTCAGGCCAACAAAGCAGCCAGTGGCTCTGCATTGCAAACTCAAGACCAACTTGACAGATTATTTATCAGTCTGGGGAAGGAAGCTGACAGGTTCTGCTCCAGAACTTGTTTTGATATTCCTCCAGGGAGATATTTTTATAGACAAGTTCCTCCAACCATTCAGCCTCTAGCAAAAGATTCTGAAACCTTTTCACCTGATGCCTTTCATTTTGTCCCAGCTGTTCTAATTTTACCCTCCCTCCCCTAGTGGTGATAAAGAACAGTGTTTATGGGGAATAAAGTTCTTCAAACAAAGCTTGCATTTTGTGTTCAGACATTTAGGGTAGCCCTTGACACAAACAAGAGACAAAATATGTTGAAAAGGGGACAGGCAATAAGCACTAAATGTATGAAATAATAAGGTTTCAGCAATAGAAGGCAGTCAATTAACACTTAAAATTCTCACTGAAATGAGAATGTAGGATTTTCCGGAGGCCAATAATGATAAAACAGTAAGTTGAATGGCTAGACCAAATTTGAACCTTCCAACTGCGAGGCATAAATATGGCAAGTTCTTACTATAAAACGCAAGCTCTGTTCAGTAAGGTGAGTTGGCAACTTTTCACAGGACAAAGCCTGTTAACAGTATCCTTTGGAATAAAAAAGTGACTGTTTTAAAAAGGTGAACACTGTTGCAAGATATGAGGCAAATCGGTGAATCAAGCACTGTTGCAGGTAAGTTCTTCAGGAAAGACTGATCACACTATTATATTGATTCTTATCATAACTGCTAATCTTTTCCAACAATCAAAAGTGCTTGGACTGTGAATTGTAACGGCTGACAACGTGCACTACCACATATTTGTCAAATGTCTACATGCCAAAGGCAGAGCTTATAACTCTAAACCAGAAAATAAAATGACCTCAACTTCACAGGTTAAAATAAACAGGAACCTTTGAATTTCCAGTTGGACTGCTTGCTGATTCTCTCAGCAGGATTTAACCTTAATTTAAACAATTCTGCTTGGTTCACACTGTGAACTCTGTAAATGCCATGTTATACACATGTACATGTGTATAAATGCATACCGCATACAACCACAGATTAGGAGCTCTTCATCCTCAATAAGCATGGCAACCCACAGATTTTCCAACAATTCACCTCCCTCAGTGCGGTCAGAAGGTCAAGTGCATACAATGTACAGCTCCCGAATTCCTTGTTCCAAGTCATTCACAAATTTAGGCTGAGATTGTCATGTCTATGAGCAATTTGAAAAAGACTATTGAAATTTGTTCAAGCAAAGCCTTAATCTTACAAGAACTTAGATAATATCAAAGAAAGGTGTAAATGTAATGCTTCCGGTATAAACAGTTTTTCAGTACCAGATTTTGAATGTGAGAGCCCTACCATACACCTGCCCTATCTGTAGTTTTCAGATTCCAATTAAGTTCACATCCTCACTGCTCACTCCTCACAACTATACATGTACACTAATCTGATGTGTAGGCCGACATGTAAGTAACTTTCACCTATTTCTCGCAGCCTATCAGGTAGAAAATGACTCCCCGTAAAATTATTCCCTCATTTCTCAGGGAACTAAGGCTTCCGATTCCAGTAACAGACATCATAAGTAACAAGCAAACTTCACAAATAATGCTGCTCCAGTGCTTACATGCTCATGTATGTGTAGAAATCTTAGATGTATGTCAAGGATTATCTACCTAAGGAAACCACAGACACAGAAAAAGAGCTGATCTCATAAAGTTGCAAGAAACCCAGATCACACAGAAGATTCCATGGCCTAGTTGTTGTGAAAGGAGAGAAAATGCAGGACAAATTCAAGCAAACATTTAGGGGTCAATTTATTTGACCCCCAAATGTTAACTCTTAATTTTTTATGTTAAAAACAATGATTGCATGATTACACTACCGAAAATTCCAAAAAGATCAAGGGACATCTATCATTTGCAGCTTGATCAGTGTGCAGTGTGCTGTTGGAGTTAGCACTCCATCATTATGTAGACCAATGGTAAACTGTCAACTTTATAGAATTCACAGTTCCTTTTGATACTGCAGCAATCATTTCAGAATGAAAATCAAATCAAAACAAATGTCCACCTTGACTTTCAGGAGAATATCACTGAATGTGTCTGTCATTACCAGAGATGGGGCAATGACTTTACAGGTAAAACAAATACTCTAAGGTGACATTCACAATTTGGATCCAATTTGCCACCTGTGTTTAAATAACTTGTAAGATCAGACATTTCCACCACACATACCCTCACTCCTTTTGCACAACATCTGTTCAGAATTGTCTACAAGGTAATCTGTAAGTGGGACCTCCCATGAACATCCGCTGCCAACAACCAGGCCTGTCTATTCCTTCCTCAGAGATATACAACCAGAATGGCAACAGTGTTCCCTTGTATAAGCAATTGGGTCATTACTTCCATCACTGGCAGGTATGCTGACATGAGTTAGTGGAAATATTACAGACAAAGAAAGTTTAAGGCATCCTAGCACTAATTGGCTGCAGAAAAACAAAAGTTCTGTTGTGTGCATGTGTACAATGTACATGTGCATGATGTACATGTACATTTACACATTGTACATGTGTACTGTACATGTATATGTATACACAAGTGCAGTGTACACAGGTACATGTACAATCAAGCGGACAAATTTGGAAAGGATTGGAAAGTATACCCTGGGATGAAAGACAGGAAATTGTGGAAGAAATACAAAGTTTATACAAAGTCAAATAATATATAATACAAAGTAGCAATAATTGATACAATATACAGTGTATCACAAAGCAATATTAACTAAAAATATAGGTATAAACAATATCCTGAGACAGACCTTTCTATTCAAATCCATTCTTTTAGATATTTTTAGGTTTCACTACAAGAACAACTTTGGCAGTTCAAATTTTATCTGATGGCAAGTCATATTAATCTGTATTGACATTCAAGCCTGTTTGCCATAGTGATGAAAGCAGGGCTTTTAAGAAGGAACACATCTCAGAAATAAATTGTTTACAAGAAATGCAATGTACGAGATCCCTTTTTCAATCCGTCTAACTTTGTATTTTGACCTTGGAAAAAATGTAAAACAGATCACAAAGGGAGTTTCCCCAGCACAGTCACAGATGGAACGGAAATTCCATAGAGCTACAGTCGCTGTGGGGCCAGACATTCTAAGGAGATTAGATCGTTCAAAGTCAGAAAGGAAAAACTGATATGTCTGGAGACTAAACCTCAAACTTAGTTTCTAATCGTACCCATGGGTGGCATTAAAATAGGTGTATGTACATGTATGTCAAAAAAAAGAATGAAACAGGTGAAATACAACGTCCATGCTTGGTCAAGTTAGTCAAGTTTCTAGGTTATCATTGAAGTTCCAAACATAAGGAGGATGGGAATATGGGTTGGATAGATCAAAGCCCCACAGGGAGATTAAGGGTTAGGGAAGATAAGGGGGTGGGTAGGGCCACACTGTTGGAAATCAGGCATTTTCCACTTGACCCTTACCAACCAATAGTGTAATCAAGACAGCATGAAACAAGAGCAGACTGGTAAAGGAATTTATTAAGTGTAACCCTCCATAATCTGACAATATCTGCTTCAGCTAAGACACTCCCATTTGCCATTGTTTATCAAGAGCAAGGAATGTGCCCGTTTTATGTGTGAGTACTTACATGTACATCTAGTAGGAGGATTTAGAATGAAAACACTAAGAGAAAGACAGGGTAAGGGTGAGAGCTCTAACCTAAGTGAAGAATGGCAATGAACTTCCTAAAGTGCTCCTAATACCCAGTTGGTATGACCTAGACCTCCATATCCCATAATCTGACATCCAGGTGCTCCAAAACACTCCCTTCACTTCAATGTTTTACTTTCATGTACAAAGCTGGTTATGTGCCTAGTCTGGCCAGTCACTGACTACACCTTTACTATACACTAGCAGGCTGCCGCACTTCGCTCAGGACCCGCAAGTGGCAACAAAGTAAGTGGAAGTAAGTAATATTTTTCCCAATGACACAGCAATCTCTAGATTTGGACAATTTTTAAACTGATGATTCTCAATAAAGAGACCAACTTTGTGCGGGGAGTGGCCCGGTGAAGTGTCAAAAGCACCTTCAAGAAATAGGAAGCAGACACCAACTCATGCCTTCTTTTGGGAATATTTCAGTTATTCCAGGCTACTCGAGTTTGATGGGCCCTATTTTGTAGGCCCTACATTCTGTTTTTGTTACATAGAAAAGTTTGTCTTTCTGTCTC